TATTAAAAAAATTTTTAAATGCATAATATTAACATATATTCAAAATAGAAAATTAGATTCTATAATATTAATTATTCAAAAAGGTAAAAATAACTGTATTGCTATTTAATGATTTAACAAATTTTTTTGAATCTAATAATCATTATATTATTATTTTATTTCTCAGAATTAAGAATCATTTAACTTTAAAAATTATAACAGATATTTTTATTTAAGAATTATAAGAACTAAGTAATAATAAAATGATAGATTGAAAATTCTTACTATTTATTTAAATTTTAATACTGTAAATTTAAATTATTTTTGTTTATGATATCAGATAACTAAAAATTTATATGAAAATAGGTAAATTAAATGGATAATTAATAAATCAATAAGTATTTTAAAAGAAAATCTAACAATTTATCTAAGATTAATTATCTTTATTATTGAATATGATACTACTTGAAAATTATTTACTAAATAAATTTATATCATATTACATATTATAGATTATTTATGATAAAACTCTGAATGAGTTAAGTCAGATTAGATAATTGACTTAATTTGATTTAAAGTATCAAGTCAAGTTGGATTACAGGTCAGATTATAAGTTATATTGAAAAAATTAAAATAAGTTTTTTAAGATATCTTAATATAATAATAATAATTAAATAATAGCTACTTTATCTCAAATAGATTAAGATTAATAAAGTTATATCTTATTTTATATTTATTAGCTAAAGTGAAGTAAAAGATTATATAATATCAAGCAAAATAATAAAAAATGTCTCATTGTCTATTTGCTTAATTATTGAATTAACGTAGATTAGCTAGTTATTATCTTAAGTAAAGCATAAGACTATATATACTGTATTCCTTTGAAAGTAAGTACTCTCTGAAAATAAGCATTATCTTATTTTTTTAGTATTAAAAAATAAGCACTATCACATTTTTTAGTATCTGAAAATAAAATAAATGCTAAAACAATACTATTTTATTAAATATTTTATAAATTTTAATATTTTTTATTTATTTTATTTAAAAGAATTCTTTACCATCAATATTTTTTTTATCATTATTAATGATTGCCGTTACCATTATGCTACTATTATCATCATTATTGTTCACTGTTAACACACCTGAAATTACCGTTAAATTATATTCACTTTTATAAAACTTATTTTACAAATTCTTTTATATGACCCCTAAAAGAAATGTGTTAAAAATATAAAGCATTTATCATTTTTATATAGCTTCTGAGATTAAAAATTTAGCAATTTTGTTAGTACCTGAAATTAAGTATCTTTATAGCAAAAAAAAAGTGCTTAATTTTAGAGGCATATGGTATTTAGAAGTGTTAATGAAAAGATTTCAGTCACATGAATATTTTTATTTATCATACCACATGAATAATAAGATCAGTAAATAAAAAAAACAAAAATAAAATAACAAAAATAAAAATTAATTTATTTATTTTAAATAAAAAAATTTCACTTCAAATTTAAAATAGTTTTCATTTCCTAGTGTATTATAAATAGTTATATATAACTTATGTATTTGTTGATATACTGATAGAAAAATCACTTTAGACTTAACAAATAATTCTCATTTTCTAATATATTAATTTATAATATATATTTTAAAATTTTTTATATAATAAAATTAAACAAGCTATATTTTAATAACTAGTGATTTAAAATTAATAAAATATAACTTAGGAGAGAGTCAGAAATTATGTTATTTTGATTTTAAGAATTTTGACCTTTCTTTGCCATCATTTTTATTATTTTTAAATATAAAAAATCATATAATAATATTATTTAGGTAAACTTTTCTCTCTTAAATAATTATATCATTTTTGATCCTTCTCTTATTCAATTCATTTTTATAAAAATTGAATGATAATTATTTTATCTTAAATAATTGATATTAATAAAGATATTAAATTTTAAAGATTTTAATTAAAAATTTAAGTTGACTTATTCAGGTTATTTGAACTATCAGGTCAAATTTGAAGCTCTAATTTATAGAAATTAATTTTACAAAAAATCAAAATAAATAATTATTTAATGATAAAACTCAGAATATTATAGTCAAGAAGATGTAAAACTTAAAAATCTTTGAATTTTAAAAGATTTTTGATATTAATAATTAGAATTATATCTCTTTAATGAAAGATGATAAATTTTATATTTTTTTAAAACTTTTGATTTAATTAAGCTTTTTGATTCAAAATGTATTATATTAATTAAAAGTTTATAAAATAAATTTGTTGAATTATATGATTTTTTGAAAAGAGAAAAATAGATTTATAATTATTTTATCTAAAGGTATAGGTATAATATATATTATTTTTAAAGAAAATAGTAATACTTTTTAAAGTTAATATCATTTTAGTACAAGTTCTTTATTAACTGACAGATTTAATTTTTTATATTTATATCTTGATTTTATATGTTTAAAAATTTATGTCTAAGTATTAAAAGTAAGAATTAAACTCTTTTTTGTATAATACTATTGAGAAAAAGAATTATGATCATATTTTTTTATTTTTTCAAAAACTTTTAAAAATTCAAAGTAAAAATTGATTATTAGTAAAATTTTAAAACATGAAAATTAAAACTAAAGTAATAAAAGAGCTAAATATTATGATATAATTAAGTTACTTGCAATTATGATAAGTATAGTACTTTTATAATATCTGATAGAATAATAATTTCAGATATTAACAAATATTTAAGTTTAGTATTATATAGAAGACATTACAATAAATTAATTATTATTAATAAAAAAAATTAAAATAATTAATACTTATTTATATTTTAAGTATAATGATTATCTTTTACAATATAAAAAGAAGAAGAAAATAAAATTAAAAAAGAACTTAATAATTTTTTAAATTATCAGAAATAGTAATGATATATTATTATTATTTATATTATTTATTTAAGGTTGATTTGTTAAATTTTAACAAAGTGAAGATGAAAACTACTAAAACTTATTTAGAATATCATTTTAAAATAATAAAATACTAAAACTATTAATTATTAAAATTATTTAATTGTTAGATAGTCAAAACATTAGTTTTGATAGATATATTACCTATACATTGTTAATAAATATATATAATTGATGTTTATTATAAAAATTATATTTGTATAATTATATATTAATATTATTAGTTATATAACTAATTGAAAATTATATACTATATTAATATAATAATATTTTCTTTATTACTGTTTTTGTTTATCAATCAAAACCTTTTTAATTTTTTATAAAAATTTATTTAAATATTATTTTATATCTTCTAAAAAAACAAATAGTTATATTATTTTTATCTTTTTAATTGTTTCAATTTTTATATTTTTCTTTAATAATTTTTTTAAATTAGTAATAGATAATCAGATAAATAGATATATTCTAAATCATTATCAGTTTTATTTGATCTTTATTTTATTTTATTTATTTTTTTTTAATATTTATTATTTTTCCTTTTTAATAAATTTTATAGATAATCCTTTCTTTTCTTAAATAAGCTTCTTATATTTAAATATCATTTATTTGAAAATATGAGAAAATTTTCTCAACTTATTCCTTTTTTAAATACTTCTTATAGTATTATAATTTTGAATTTTATAGTAGATTTAATATAAATTATTTTTATATTATTCTTTTTTTATTTTTATATAAGTAATTCTATATTACTTAAAATAAAGATAATAATTATGATATTATAAAATCATATTGATGATAACTAAATTTTTGATTTCTGAAATTTTTGATAATACAAATGTTCACTTTATCTGATTTTATTACAACATGCTTATAAAAAGGTAAATTCTTTCTAATATTTCTTTTTTTTTATATTATAGACTTTAAATCAAATCAGATTGATCTATTATCTAACTTATCCAACTTTGAAAAATTCTTCAAATTCAATAAATATTCTTTTATATTTGTTAAATAAATATATTCTGTTTCATACTTTTTTTTTTTATAGATGACTTGGATTCTAGTAGATCTAATATAAATTAGTTTCATAATATCTTAACAAAATATTATATTGGTAATACAATCGCGATGTTTAACAAACAATATTTATTATAAATGAATATTTAGACAAATTGTAAAAGATACAATAGTTTATTATATCAGTTTGTAAAATTAAGGATGGGATAAACCAGTTTTATAACCAGTTTTAACCGTTTTTGATACTTTTTTACAAAGGCAATCGAGTTTAAAGAACAAGTTGTTGCAAAATGTCGAAGAAAACAGAACAATTAATTAATTTGTATACACATAGAATAACAACAGCAGATAAACCATGTTTTATCTGTAATAAATTTACTACTTCTGTTTTAAGAACTGATAATGGACTAGATTGGTTTTATACTTGTGAAAGGTTTGTATTTAAAGGATATGAAAAAAATTTTTTTTTTTTTAGAGGTAATTTATTGATTTATTTATTTTCGTAGCCATTTAAGTGACAGAGGATTTGCTACTCCTGTACCAGAACCCAAACCTGAACCAACTATAGTTGTTCAATCAACAAAAATAAAAGGATCGCAAAAAGAAGATTCTGCAAAGTCTAAATCTGATTCCGCCACTAATCAAGAAGAGAAAGATAAATCAAAAGAACCTACAAAAGAAGGAAAGGAAGAGGAAAAAGAAGAAAAAAAGGAGGAAAAACAACAGGTTGCAACTCCCAAACCTTCAATTAAACCACAACCACCCAGACCAACTAAGCCTAAACAGTATGTGTTACATAGAAATATTTTTTATTTGAGACAAGACAATTTAAATAAAAAACGTCAAAAAGCGGAAACTCAGATTCTTTTAAGTAAATTACCGAGCGTGCCTAAAACTTTGCAATAGTCTTAAAAACGATTTTTTTTTTAGATAATTTTAAATTTTATAATTCAATTACGCGTCTTTCATACTTCTCGAATATATGTCGTTTCATATCATAATCTGAATCGGGTCCAAAATGCCCTAAAGGTAAATAAAGAGGGGTTTTCAATTTGAAGTTAGACTTGGAGAAAACATTCTAGAAGGATTGATTATTACCTTCATTAAAACATGATTGACAATACAAGTCTCCATCACAGTCTTTGCATCTTATAGTAGCATCCTCGTTACAAATACCTGGAAGGTTTTAAACATTAATAAATTAAACTCAATGATTTTCTTTACTCATCTATAATACTTACAACACCAAGTATCAGGATCTTCTTCATTCAATCCAAATTCTGACAAATCAATTGGTTTAGGCGGAGGTCCTAAATCATCATCCTTAATAATCTTTTTATTATCTTGGGATTGTGCATTCGAAATATTAAATTCTTTCAATTGATTATATCTTCTTTCTATCTCACTAAAATCCTCTTTACAGTTATCTTCATATTTCGATTCTAGATCTATTTCGTCTTGTATTTCTTGAATCAAATTTTCCGTATCATCATTTTCATCAAAGTCTACATTTGATAATTCCTTGTCTATTAAGTAATTTTCAATCTAACATAAATTTAAAGTAATTGTTTAGAAATTTAGATAGTTTATTTCATTGATAAATATAACTTACTTCATCATCTAATTTCGGTAATTTATATTGGGCATTGGTTAAATTTGATGTCAAGGAAACATTATTATTTGAAGGGACAATGGTCAAGTCTATTATCGAATCATTTGTTTTCGCTATATTCTTTACGAGAGGAGGAGGATTGTGTTTTGGTTTATGACCAAATATTTTTGTAAATCGTTCAACCAATTCTTCTTCACTTATGAATAAATAATAATTATTACATGATTGATTTTAAAAGTGACAACGTAAAAAACATCTCATGCTTACGTAGATTCATTATTATGTGACGAATCATTTGATTGATCCTTTCTGAACATTTTTGATCTTTTTGGACCAACAATTGGTTTTTTGAAATTGCGGATTTATATGTGAACTTTGTGTAATGTGATACGGAAAATCGAGATATAAAAAAAAATTTCATTTATTTTTTTATTTTTCTAGTTTATATATATATTTTATACTTTTTATTTAATCAAAAAAAAAAATACGCTTTTACTAACCAATTACAGGTTAATCCGGGGAGACTTTTTGATACTTGGTGTTTCACAGTTTTCACCTCAGTAAATAAAAATGAGTTCACCAAAAATGAAAGAATTTCAAAGGTCGCTTCACGATGTTATCATTAAACAAATTTCACGTCACAATCCACCTCCAATATCACAAAAATGCGTTTCAACTCTTTTACAAATAATGAACAATCTATTAAAAGAACCTTATAATGAAAAATTTCGTAAATTACGTGAAAAGAATCATACATTTAATTCAAACGTTTTGCAAATTGTTGGTGGCAAAGAATTTTTAATTAAAGTTGGATTTAAATCAAAGATTGTAGATTTTGAAAAATCTTTCATACTAGAATTAAAAGGTACTGATAAAAGTGGAGAGAAAATTAGCGATGAATTATTTTTATCTAGACAAGTGGAAAGGTTGGAAATTGCTCAGCAATTACTTGAGGATTATTTGAAGAAAGTTACCGAACAAGCTGAAACTGTTAAGAGAATGCAAGAAAAAGAAAAGAAGGCGGAGGAACTTCAAAAAGCCGCCATTTTACAAAGCATTGAAGAAGATAAAGAACGTAGGCATAAACAACAAGAGCGACTTAAATTTCATCGACAGCTTGAACAAGAAAAACGAGAACGTACAGAACAAAATACGAAACTCGAACCACAATCTGAGGATTACGAAGAAGTTGATTCATTCGGACAGCAGAGAATTGATCAGCCCGATCCAAAACCATTTTATCGTCCCTATCACCACACACATTTTGACAAAGAAAAATAATTATATATTGTGCAATAACTGATTTATTTATTTCTTCCTCATTTCTTTTCTTTGATAAATATATTTTTTTTCCTTTACTGCAAAAATATTTGCGAAATCTCGTAAGGAAAATTTTTCTTATATACATTATATAATAAAGATATTTGTCATTCCTCGGTCATAATTTTAATAAATTCTTTCATGCTTACTTTTTTTTTTTTAAATTTAAAAAATTGGTCAAAGATAATATATATAAAAGAAAGTTTTTTTTTTTTAAAAAAAAAAATCAAATTGTCAAATGTAAACGCGAAAAGGATACTTTCTCCATCGTCATCTAAATCAAATTCATCAATCATCGCTTGTAATTCATCTTCATCCAAATTTTCTCCCAATTCCTTTGCAACTCGTTTCAGATTCTGAAGTGATATTTTTCCAGTATTATCATCATCAAAAAGTTGAAAGGCTCTATGAACTTCTTCCATTGGTGATCTATTCACAATTCGTTCCGCCACTAAGTAACGAAAAAGTTCAATTGAAATTAATTCCCTAAAATGCAATTTTGACAAGTAAAACAAAATTTCTTCAAAATATTTACTTAATTTAAAGAAATCCTCATATGAAATCAACCCTTCATCACTTTTATCATATTGTCGGATAATCTTGAGTAATTCAGGTTTTTTCTCATCAAAGCCAAGAGCTTTCATAGCAGTTTTAAGTTCTTGGTAACACAAAGCTCCCTTTTTATCATTATCGAATAAATCGAAAACCTCTTTAATTTCAACCCTTTGTTCTTCTGATAAGTGAGGGAGTGGAGATGTCTTTAGAGTTGTCATTGTTGTATGTGCTGGAGATGGAAGCTGCGTTTTCTCTGGTGTCAACAACATATCGCTACTAAGAAAATTCGTTGTGATGGTCGCACTTGTTGTGTTATTATTACTATCATTTTTGTTACTAGTAATCTTTTTCGTTTTCGTGTTTATCTCGCTAGTGTGCGAAGGACTAATATATTATATTTTTCTCATTTTTGAGATAAAATGAGCAAATTAAATTATTAAAGCGTATCTTATTACCTTCCGTTCATTCTCTTTCTTTTTATTCAAATAATGAAAACCTTTCTTCAGTCTTTTTTTATGGCGTTAATAGTTAAAATGTTAAATGTACTAAAGTACATATTGCACTTTATTGATGATATATAAACCTTCGATTTTCGGATTAGTGGCTTAGCACCCTTTCCTAAAATCTCTCATGCAGGGTTGTGATACATTTCAATTCATAAAGGGGAAGAATCGTCATCACTAATTCTGGTATATATAATATCCTTTGCCATGGATAAAATAAAAAAAATATAAATCAAAAAAAAAAAAAGTGAGGTTTTACAATGTATAACGTTCTTTCTTCATTCTCAAAGGGGGGGATAATACTTAACATGAAAATTAATATACATTAATTACATTCGGACATTATTATTAATTAACCTAGAAAATTAACCATGATGGAAATGCAAAAAAATTCCTTTTAATAATCGGCCGCCCAACCATTTTTGTTTAGATAATCTTCAATTGCTTCTTTAAGCGCCAAGTTAGGATACAAATCATTCTCCCTACATTCACGTCTTGATAACGGATCAAAATATCCGATTTTTTTGAAATGTTCTTTCAAATGAGTTCTCTCATAGGTAATCCCCGATGGCGTAATAACCGGATCATGCATAACATTGAAAGATATTTTATCCAGAAAATATTCAGGAATTTCTCCTTGACGAAGGTTTTCTTCCGATTGAGCAAAAACTTGTTCGATTTGAGAAAGCCTTTCATCATGTGCACGGTTAATTTGATTTATTTTATCTTGAATTTCCATTGGATGTGAATTAACTAATTTAGAAAATGTGGAACCAATCGAACCTTTACTTTGAGTAACCTTTTGAAGTTGTTTCTCTCTTTCTGCATTAATTAATCCTTTGATATATTTCAATGTTTCAGATTCACTCTTTTGTCGTCGTTGATTCTCGACTTCCCATTTTTTCTTTCTTGCATTCAATAAAGCTTGAATAATCTCTGCAGAAAATGCTACTTTATCAATGATAGCATGATCATATGCCTTCTGTAAATGTGAAATTGCCAAACCAAATTCTTCTTTCTCCGTTAATGCTTGTCCTATCATATAATGTCCTTTAACTGAATTCGCATCAATGCTGATAGCAGTCTCACAATCCGATATCACATTATCGTACTTATTTAACTTCAAGTAGCATAATGCGCGGTTTGTATAATAAACTGCATTCCTTGGATTCTGAGCGATAGCTTCCGAATAATCCTTTATAGCACTATCATAATCCTTTTTACCGAAATGAAAGTTTCCTTTTGTCTTGTGAGTTTCCGCTCGGTCTACAGAATTCGACATTTGTTGTCTTCAGGTTCAAAGTAAGTGAAAAAAATAACGGTAGCTTATAAAGTTAGTTCAAAAAGAATAGTTTGTGAAAGTTATATTTATCGAAAACAAACGTTTTTTTTGGTTGATTTATAAGATTGTGTGGCGGAGTTTAATTTTCACGTTAATCTGATGACACAATTAATTGGTTTTATTTATATTTATGTTTATATCGTTTAGCACATGAAGTAACATCCGTGTGTTGAATAAGCAGAATATAAATTTATTCGTCTTATTTATTATATATTAGACCGAGTCACTCGCGCCGTAGTAAAAGTTTTTTTTTTTTTTTTATTATTATTATTCAATTTCTCCCAACAGTTTTGTTCTTATTTAACCCTTAAAATCTTTTGGCTCTTCGACACTTGGAGCCCATTAACCAGACATCACTTCCCTTAACGATGCAGAAACTTGCCTTACGCATCTTAAGTCGTTTCAGCCGGAAAACTTTCATTCGTAGTGCTTGGAAAAATTTAAATAGTTTAAGTGAGCACGATGAGCTGGCTGAGGCATTAGATACGTTAATTTCCATGTCCCACGAAGGTACTTGTCTATTAATTTATGAGGAAATTCCGACTTTCAAATTTATTTATTTTACTTCTTTGACTTGATATACTGTATCTATTACCTGTATCATGCCAACTTGTTATATTATACCAGAGAATGAATTCATTGAACTCATTACTGTAATTGTGGATGTTCTATCGGAGGCTCCGATGGCTTCTGCTTTTTTGTGTCACATTATTGGTAATAATAATTTTAAGCTACCTTTTTTTGTATGTGAGCTGAATTCAAATTAGCCATTTAAATTGATTTTATGTATAATTTATTTAATGTTATATAGATAGTGCCGCTTTGCCTTCAAAAGAAACCTCTCATAAAATTACGACAAGATTACTACAGAAACTTAAGCCTGGTTAGTTGATATGCTTTGATCCATTGATATATTCTAACTCGCTTTCTAAGAATTATTCATCATTATATTAAGTAGGTCTATTATTTTACCTTAAATCTTTAGGCGGTATATATCGATCGAAACCAAAGAAGCGTACACGTGTAAACGCAGCTATAATTTGGAGTGTTCTGGCTGAAAAATTAGCAGGTCAAGAGTTGTTACTTTGTTATATATTTAAAATAATGTAATTACTGACATTCTAAATCATTTTATAGGCGAAATCAGTTTATCCTTGTTTTCGGATAATGTATGTACTACATTGCTGGACTATCTCCATTATGATAATGATGCCAGCGTGCGTCTTTTCGCTTTGATCGCTCTTGAAAAATTTGGTATGACCGGACAAAATAAAGAAAAGATTCTTAATTCGGGAAGGGATATTCATGGGATTCTGCAAGGCATAGCCAAGGAACTGCATTCGGGTGAGGGATCTAGTGAAGATGTCAATCGTCGAAGACAATTAAAATTTTGTGTAGAATGGGCCCTGAAGAATACTTTTGGTACGTTTAGCTTAACTAAAAGATTTTTTTTTTTATTTTTTTTAAAAAAAAAGAGTCGCTTTCCAATCTAATTTATCCTATTTAATACTTTGTTTAATTAAGATTCAGGCAAGGTATGAAGAATTTTCGATTTTTTAAATATAATTTTTTTTATTTTATTTCATTTTTTTATATTCTTACATTATATATATAAATTTGATAGGAAGACATAAATGATTCAGATGATGATTCTGTAAATTCCAATCATATAAATGTTATGTTGAACCCATTGGATGCTACGTCTCATTGGAAAATATCACGAAATGGCTTAGAGGTACATACAATTTTCTTTGGAATTATTAAATAATTAGTTTTTATTATATAAATTAAATTTGCGCATTTGCAGATAAGGAATGATAATTCCACGTTCGAGTCCATACGTGCAACGATGGGTGTAACTTCAGGAAAATGGTTTTATGAAGTAATATTATTGACTAACGGAATTATGCAGGTATGTGTGAATTGATAAATTAGTCGATCATTAGGAATTTAAATTAACATCCTCTGATTAGATCGGATATGCAACTAAACGTTGCATGTTTGGACCAGAAGAAGGTACAGGTGTTGGAGACGATCCGGTTAGTTCGTATTTTGAGAGTTTTATATTGATATTCTCTATAAATCTTGCTTAGCCAATGTATTAAATATTCGAAATGAATTTAAATTTGAATTAATAGAATGGATTTGCATTTGACGGATGTAGGAACGTTCTATGGGTTAGTTTTTATAATTAAATAAATTTTATTACATACCATAATGGTAAATTTACCTTGTTTATTATTGGTATCTTTAGGCGAATGGCGTATCTGTACCATATGGTGGAACCGAATCATGGAAACCTGGTAATTCTCTCATTTCCCTTTTACTTGAATCATCAATATAAGAAATTCTTTCATTTAATAAACTGTATCATGGATAATGTCACAGGTGATGTGGTCGGAGTTTATATGGATGTTCCCCTTGGTTGCGTTCGATTTTATCTAAATGGGAAAGATTTGGGTGTGGTACATCCTCTCAACCTTACTCAATTTCGAAAGTTGGCAGAGAGTAGTTTACACCCAGCATTATCTTTTACTTCCTATCAACAAGCCATAATTAATTTTGGAGCTGAAAAATTCCGGTAATTTTCGCGAAATAATCAAAATATCAATGGTATGACTTTTAACCTTTTGATCTTTTATTATAGATATCCACCGCCAAAAAAATACGCTTCTAAAGTTCTGAATAGTCAAGGACAATTATCATCAGAACTTCGCAACTCAATACAAAAGAGGGTTTGGAGAGCATCACGTTATCGCTCAATGACTGTAAGTCCATATTGGAGACAACAGCTAGAGTCCACGGAAGATGACTTTGACACTCAATGTTCGATTTGTTTTGCAATGCCGCCTACTATTTTATTGGGACCTTGTAATCATGACGGTTTTTGCTCTGATTGTGCAAAAATGATGCATTCTTGGTATGTATCCAATTTCAATCATTTAAATGATCGAATATATAATTACTGATGATTATTACTATTTATTTTCGTAAATAGTCCGTTATGTAGAACACCAGTTTCATATCGAAGGCTAATGAATGCACAAACCGCTAGTTTACCATCTACTCCTACGAAACTTTCTATTGCGTCAACGTCAGCATCATCACTTTCCGCACCTTCAACAGCAATTGTTTTACCTCCAACACCACCCCAATCACGTCCTGCATCATCTATTACCTCATGGGAACCTGACATTTTACGTGGACTGGAGCCATAATGTTTTATTTGTTATGATAAATATTTTTTTTTTTTGGAAAAAAAAAGATCTGCTGATTCTATATAATTTTGGTTTGAAGCGTTGTAAATATTTTTTTTTCTTTTTTTTTTTCTTTTTTTTTTTTTCTATTTATATATATAGATATATATTTTTATTTTTTTTTTTTTTTGCATTGAATTTTCTTATCCAACTATGAACTAGATATTAATATTATTTTGCTGATTATTTTTTTTTTTTATCCCTTACCATTGTACTTTATTACTTTATCCCCCCACCCTTCATGAATATTTTCATCGCCAAGATCAAAAAAAATTTCAAAAATAAAATAAAGTAGGGAGTTAATTATTCATAAAAATTATTTATATGTTTATTATACATACGTACGTTTTGCTCATCTACCTGTAGTCTTTCATTATGTACTTTGCTTTGTATATATCGTAGAAAATTCTATTCATCAAAGTTTTTTATTTTTAACATTATTAAAAAAAATTATTATATTATATTAATTAATTAATTTCCAAATATTTATTATAATAATAAACCTTTGGGTCAATATTTATTATTATTATTATTTTTCCTTTTTCCTTTTTTGAACCATAAGATCAAAAAATAAATTCGATTACTTCATTTTGCAGTAACTATAAGAAAGAATCTGTTACTTTTCTATAGATAGATAGATAGATACATACATACATACATATAAATATATAAAAAAAGCTTATACCCCATGTTCTACGATCCATTGGACATTGTCCACGACTTCCTTCTGTTTGAAGCCATCTTAGTAAACAATGCATGTGAAATACATGTGTACACTCTCCCCATACTAAAAAAAATATAATTTTTGAGTAATAAATAAACAAATGCAAAAAAAAAAAAAAAAAATTAAGAAAGGAGGGCGCTAACTTAGCGAGCAATCATCTCCGGGAGTTTTACAAGTAGGACAACAACCGTCAAAAGGTACTCTACATATACCACATACTTCTTCGTTAGGCACATCCCATCTCCAAACTGCTACTCCATGCCAACTATAACAAACAGATTAGTATTTATTCTGAGAAAATGTAAAAGGAAGTCAAAAAAAAAAAAAAAAAAAATTATTATTATTAACGCACCCTTTTACTTTAACTTTCATACTCGAAAATAAAGTTGAAAAAATAAAATAAAAAACGCGTTTAGTTCTGTAGGTTTTTTTTTATATTTTAACGTGATTTTCAACGAATCAGAAGTGGGACCAATTTTTTTGTAGATCATTACATTTTAAATCACACAATTTTACTCGAATGTTGCATAAGCTATTCTTATTTATCACGGTCGTGAACCGATCTAATGGTCGAGTTTTAATAAATAATTTGATGCTATATTTTAAAAAATGATATTTTTAATCTAAAATATTACTTAATTAAATAGAATAAAGTATTTGGCAAATTCAATAAAAAAAAAGATTAAATTTGATTACTATATTTAGGTTTATTTGTAAATATTTGTATTTGTATCAAACTTTTAATAAATGAAGACATAAATTAGCAACTAGCTTTATAATTTATTAAAAATAATATGATATACATAAATTTTAGTTTAGTAGATATAGTTTATATGGGAGTGTTTCTAGGAAAATCAGGGTTCCGAGAAATTTTTGACTAAAATTAAGAGCCTAATACATTTTAATCTAATAACATCAAAAACTAAAATGCAATAAAAATCTCAATTTCGCTAAAAAATTCCCGGAACCTGATTTTCCTAGCAATCAACCCATATATTTAAATAATAATTACATTTTTTTTTGCAAAGCATATATATAATTTTAATTTAAATTTATATAAACTTTTATTTAATTAAAGTATAAAAATAAAAAATAAATTTCTTTTTATATTAAATTCAAGCTTATAATTAAAAATAAAAAAAAATATAAAAATATTTATTTATTTATTTATTGAATTTGAAAAAAAGTGAATCTTTCTAAAACTAGGTTTTATTAAAATATAACATTAATTATTGTCTTTTACAAAAAGTAGTGATTATTCGTTTAAACATTCGGAATGCTTTTTTGATATTTTTCATATTTTAAAATAAAAATTAATTAAATGTGATTCATTTATTTCTTTTTTACTTTAATAAATCTTGTCAAAAATTAAGCCGTATGAAATACCAAAAATATGATAAATTATTTTAGAATTGCTATAAATTAAATAGTGTTCAATAAATAAATAAATAAATTCTAATATATAATATACTTTCTCTAAATTTAATTAAGATAGGATGAATAAAAATTCTATTAATACTGTTTTTTTTTTTAGAAAAAAAAAGTATCATATATATGAAGTTTCTCAACGTCCTTTTCAATCTCTCAGAGATTACTCTTGAAAGTCTCAAATATTACTTTCTCCCCCTAAGAAATCCTTAACTATGCTCAATTATTATTACGTCAGTTACCAACTGTTCCATTCGTCATCCCAACCATCATCTTTCTTATTTCCTTCATTTCTTCTTCTAGTCGTTGTAGAACCAGGCGAAGAAATTTTAGGTGAAGAAGATCTTACATTACTATTATTATTATTATTATAATTATAATTACTATTATTACCATTATTACTATTAATATTAAAAGGAGAATTTCTTCCACTATCAGAAGGAGAATTTCTTTGTTGATATTGATTGATGGTATCAGCAAAAAAGTCATTGTCCACATCATAATTACCATTATTATTATAAGAATCGTCTGATATAGATGAGTAATGTTGTCTACTTAAAAAAGAAGGTTGATTTGAAGAAATGCTTGATATAGTAGATATACCTCTCGATGCAGTTTCGCTAACAGTTTTGCCGATCCAAGCTCCGTAACCTGCAACTTGTGAAGTAAATTCAGGATCTCTCACTTTTTCGGTTGTAGGTTTAATTACATGTTCATTAACAGTTTGTCCTAAAGTTTCAGCTCCTTGAGCTGCTAACTTTGCACCTTCTACAACATGATATCCAAGAAAATTTAATCCTTTCGTGAAGGCTTTAACAGGATCGTTCATTAATTCATCTAAATCTGGTGCTGAAGTATTCGAAGTTGATGATGAACTTTCATTTGCAAATGCTGGATTACCAAATCCCGTATATTTTCCTCCTTGATTTGGTGGTAAATGATTTGGTCGCGATTCATTTGCTTTTCCTAAAGTCGCAAAATATTTTTCATTTCTTTCCTTTTTATCAGATGAGAGACTATTATCGCTACTTAAGCTACTTAGATCTCCATTTGATTGATATGATTGATACGAAGACGCTGTTCGTGTATTCGTTGCATCACCAATATTATTACGATTTGATGATTGAATTGATGATCGATTACTGTTGGATGATGACGGTCGATTAGGAGTTCTGCCGACACTTTGTGCAGACGGTGTCCATTTCCTTCCTTCACATTTTGCTGTCAACTATAAAAGTATTAGAAGAGGATAAAAGATAATAATTTGAAAAGCTAAAGTAATTTAACAAACCTTTTCACGATAATCAGTTGCAAATCTACTATGATACTTATCCTTTAATGACATTTCGGGATAATATTCAGATGACGACTCATAAAATTCTCTCCATTCAGTATTTCCTCCGAGCTAAAAAAAAATTTAAGAAAAAAATTGAAAATGTATTTCGTATTGCAATGAAAATTGCAATCGCTAAAGAGAATGTATAAATTCTAATACGCTTACCTTCATCTTTTTAATTTGGTCGTCATACCATTTATCCATGGTTATTGAACGAACAAAACTAAAAATATATATTAATATATTCAACGGGAATCAGCACCTCAACTCTAATAAAATATTTGAAAAAAAAAAAAACTTTTTTTTACCTAACGTGAACACCAAAAGACCTATGAACTCCGGAACACTCTAAACAAATAAATATTCCAAAAGAGACCGAGGCCCATTGTGGATTAGGTGCTCCACAATCAACACAATTCTATGACAAAAAAAAAAGTCTAGTTCAACTAACTTATGATGTGGCAAAAATAAAAAAAACGTACTTTATTCCCATTTTTTCTTTGTATTTCATATAATACTTGTTTATATTCCGCTGCCATATTTTAAAAGATTTATTTTTTAAAAAAAATAAATTAAAAAGAGAAAAAAAAAAGGAGGAAAAAAAAAAAAAAATTTTTTGGCATTCAATAGTGATGGGCAAACTGTGGCTAATGAAGAAATTTTCATTGATTTACAAATTACGGAAATTAATAATGAAATTAAAAGGTTTTATTGTTAAATGAATATTCAAGATATAGAAAAAAAACAAAAAAAGCAAATAGTGAAGAAAAAAATCATTTTTCTAATGATTTTTTTTTTTTTTTTTTTTGACCTCATGGGCCCCGAATTATAATTACTTCGATTAAATTTTTTAGATTAAAACTCAGGATTTAAAAATACTATAAAAAATCTAGATACAAATATAACTAATCAGTATATCTACTTTACAATTTTAAAGGTAATAGTAGTAGCATATATACATTTATGTGATCGAAAAAAAACCCCCCTTTTTTTTATCCAATTAATGGTTATTTTTTTTAAAAAAAAAAAAAAAAAAAAAAATAAAATAAAATAAAATGGTAAGATACGAATCGGTTCTCTTCATTCATATTCTACTTTGCTAATTAATGTTAAATTATTATACTGCATCATTGCTTCCACCTGAACTTGAACTCGGACCAGCTACAGAGGGATATGTTATTCTTTTATCAGGTGATATAAACGGAGCTTCACCACTACCTTCGAAATCATCACCACCCCAATTCAAGAAAACGCAAGGTAAACAACATCCCGAGCAACAAAACAAAAGGGATAGGACGATAAAAACAGGAATTAGAATTGATGATAATCTAATTCCATCATTTCCATCAAGTCTACTTGCCAGTAATCCTATAACAGTGTAGGATAAAGTTCCAATCACTCCTAATACGGTAGCTGAAACCAAAACATCAACCCTTAATCTATTTTGTAAAGGCTCGGCTTTCCTTAGCAACCGCCATTGCGATAAAATCTCAAGTGCATAACGAAATCCAACTAAATATAATGGAAAGAATACTATTCCCCAACTAACTTTTATAACACCATCAATATTAAGGACGATTAAGATTGCTAAAGCTACTCTGATCAAAAGCCACCAAAATGTCTCAAAGAACAATTTAATCTTAAGCTTTAGAGAAGGTTTACCATTTTGATCGTACACTCTAGTGGTTTTGAGTATACCAACATACTCCATGATATTCGGGTATACATTAATAAATTCGATAATAAAATATGGAATAAATACGATAACCGCACTCAAATTTTTAACCCCATCTGCTCGGAGAACTATTAATATTTGAAATGTGAAGAACAATAATAAATATGCAATCGCCAGAAAATTTCTAAGACGATGTAATCTTTTTTGTTGTAGCCTTCTTGCTTCTCTCGCTTGTTCTCTATCGCCATGATATAATCCTTCAAATTCCTCTGCATCATGCTCATCATATTCAGTTGGTTCTTTCTTTGCTTGTGCAACCAATCCAACAAATAACACTAAATCTACAATCCACAAAGGTATGAACACAACTCCAAAACTCCAATTTACTTTTTTATCTACTCGTATTGATAAAAAAGCGAAGAACAAAATCAAGAGAATGATCGAAATCGAAACGGTGGTGAAAAGCATACATAATGGTCCCTCAATATCTGGATCAAATAAAAATCCAGCCATCGAATCCATCATATTTATTCCCATTTCTCCATATTTATCATATACTGATCGTTTCTTGGAATCGCTAAGTATTTCGTATGCATGTGTAATTTCCTTGAACTTGTATAATTTTTTGTTTTTTGAAGTAATTAATAATTTAAATGAAAATGAAAAAAATTTTTTTTTATTACTTTAATAATTTTTTCTTAATTACCTGATCGGTAGCATCAGGGTTCTTGTCAGGATGATATCTTAATGCCAAACGTCGATATGATTTTTTAATCTCGTCTTCGGTAGCACTTTTTCGTACACCCAAGGTATTATACAAAGCGTTGGTATCCCGCTCCATGCTGCAATCTTTTCAGCAAGTTTGACCGCACGGAGCGGAGTCAATGAGATCCAAATAAGTATTAAAAAGAAGTAAAAGGAGAAACAAGAGAACAATAAAGAAACGACCAACCAAAAAAAAATTATATCTTTTATATAATAAAAAAAAAAATTTCAGGAAAAGATATGTTTGTGTTGTTTGTGTAAATAAAACAAACAAATTCTATTCTTATAAAGATACAAGGTTCGTGTACAACAACCCAGAAAACTTTATGTTGTGTAATAACTCTCCAAGAAAGTTATTTTTACTTATGCGTACCTTTTTATGTCTTCCTTTTTTTTAAAGCGGATTTGCTTAAAAACTGCAGCAAGAAATGTTTATTTTATAGTTGGTAAGATTTTTAAAATAGATAGGTATCAGCCACATATTAAAAATACTTAAACTTTTGTAGACAATTGTGTACCATTGTTTTTAAAATAACTTGCTTGATTTCAAGAACTTGAAAAGTAATCATTCAAGTTTTCGTGTGTTTCAGAGTTATCCCATTGATGGATCATTTTATGTGGCTTGATCAATCATTTTCGCCCCTTTTGGATAAAATTCAAAAACGGATCCGTATAAATTTTACTAGTACAAATGGTTTTAATTAAAACTCTTTATATTTTTCATTATGGCAACAAACAAAATATTTAAAGAGGATATTTTAAAAGATAAAGTAGCATTTGTTACAGGAGGTAAAATCACTAAATTTCATGACGTAATTCATTAAAATAAATCTTACCTTTTCTCTATATTAGGTGGAAGTGGTATTTGTAAGGGTATGACTGAAGCTATGATTAGACACGGAGCAAAAGCCGTTATTACTAGCCGAAGGTTTTGTGTTCATAATGAATTCATCACTTTTTACTTTATAATTATTCTCCTTAATTATGAACTTTTTTATTAATTAGTCAAGAAAAACTCGATAAAGCAGCCGAAGAAATGCGTAATAGAACTCGAGGAGAAATCCTGTAATGACTTGAATTTAAAATCCAAGCATTTTTTGAGAACAATAAAGGGGTTTTAACATATTGGCATTTTGTTATATCAAAAATACTTTTTAGTGCAATTGCTGCCGATGTTCGTATACCAGAACAAATGATAGATGTTGTTGAAAAAGCAATCGAAAGATTTGGTAAAATTGATATACTTGTCAATGGAGCAGGTAATATATTTATTTTATTATTAGAACAGTTTTATCGGAGCATGATCTATATATTCAATAACATCATGTGATTCTCCCTTCAGCTGGAAACTTTTTGGCAGCAGCCGAAACTCTTTCTTATAGAGCTTTTCGTACTGTAATTGAGATCGATTTACTTGGAACTTATAATACGACAAAAGCTTGCTTTCCATATCTGAAGAAATCAAAAGGCTGTATTATAAATGTTTCAGCGAATCTTCATTATCAATCCACACTCTATCAGGTTATTTGATTTCGACATGATTGTTTTGATATCAATATATTATCAATTAATTTTTCTTTTTTTTTTTTAAAAAAAAAAAGTCCCATGCTTCAGCCGCAAAAGCAGGAAATGATGCTCTGAGTAGAGTGAGATAAAAAGTTGTTTGTATTAATTTTTTTTTTTTTTAGAATTAACTTAACATGATTCTTCCAATTATAAAGTGTCTTGCAGCTGAATGGGGACCTCATTCGATTCGCGTAAATTCCATTGCTCCTGGTCCAATTGCAGAAACGGAAGGGACGGCAAAATTATTGCCTCCAGCTGCTACTGAAGCTGCTATAAGAGAGATTCCACTTCAAAGATTTGTAAGTATGGGAAGAAGTAAACAAATTCACAATAAATCACCAAAATAATTCTTTTTATATGTAAATAATGTATATTGTATAGGGATCTATTTCAGATATCGAACAAGCAACGATTTTCTTGGCGTCAGATGCTGCTAGTTTTATAACTGGCCAGATAATTGTTGTTGATGGTGGTGATTCCCTGAGAAAAGTCGGTGTTTTACCTTATCCTGAGAGTGTAATTGATCCTGCCAATTTCTTTTCAAAAAAATTAGGTGTTAAATTGTAAAATCATATGTACTAATGTCATTAATATTGTAAAACCAAAAATAAATTAAAAATATACTATGTTTAATTTGGTTCTTGCTGTATAAAATTTATTTGTAATTAGTATAACAAAAGAACAGTGCTTGGTATTTAAAAGACTGTTTACAATTTGTTATAAAAAAAAAATTATTGGCTGAATTCTTCAAGAAATTTTGATTATTTTTGATTATCTGTAAAATTATCTCCTTGTCAAATAAATAAATAAATAAATTGTTCTTTTTCAAAAATTTTTGAGATGGAGCTATCTCGAAGCCCATAAGTATAAAGGAAAGTGAACAAATCAAACATAACACAATTATTTGAATAATTCAAGCTAGTTCAAAAGGAATTTCTTTTACCAAGAATTTTTTTTTTTTTTTAAAAATTTGAGCAATGAAAATAATTGTGTGTACTAAGAGTATAGCTTGTTATGTATTTTTTTTTTAAAAAAAAAAAAAAAAAAAAAAAAAAGCTCATGTCATAACAAATAGGATTGTTATTATTGTGAACTTAACGTGTTTGGAAATGTATAATAACTAAACATGATCTATATATCCCTACATCAGTACATTGTCAAAATAAACACCTTTAACATCTTTACCTCTCATCGATTGCTTAACATTATATTCGAAATTTTTTCGGTTTGTTCTCAAATCCTCGGCCGCATCTAAAAAGGGAGAGATGAGGGTTACAAATAAATTATTACACGATATAAAGTTGATCCAATACATTACCTTTATTAAGGGGATCATCAGCATTCGGTTCCAAGAACAAATATTGCAACCCTACCAATACAGAATTCAAATTCAAGACAGGTTTCCAATCTTCACGGAGAATGTTCAAACATACATTTCCTTCAAGATCGATATTAGGGTGGTAGATCTAAATTCAATTAAACAAGGGTTAAATGATAGGATACTTTAAAAGTATTGATTTTTTTTTTAATTACCTTTTGGGAACAACGAACTTTTGGTGGGTCATGAGGATAGTTATTATTTATGTTGAATGTAAATCTAAATACTCCACCACGATAGAACCCTGCGTTATAAATAAATCAAGCCGAATTAATAACAATATATTGACGAATTCAAAAGAATCTCAGTCGTACCTTCATCCGGTGTTATGGACAAATTGAAATTAAGGAGATCTGCCTCATCTGGAAAGTTCATTTGCATTGTGTCGGGAAGTGCGAGTTCAGTCAAATCTAAAAAAAAAAAAAGAATAGAAATAGATAAAGTTGAGAATTTTTTGAGGTATAAAAAAAAAAGAAAAGAAAGAAACAAAGCAAGTAGGACTTCCTCTTGCCAGTAAGGCGGAAAAAATTGAGCTGAGCGGAAGAGGTTAGATCGTGACACTATGCTCAACGATTCATCAAAAGCTAATCAAGCAAAATAAAACCAGACAAGTTTTTAAGAAAGGATAATTTTACCTTTTTGAACACGAATCTGAGCCGCAGAGACTTTAGGTTTCTTCTTTTCAGCTGAAGAATTATCCTTCTTGATCGACCAAATTTTTATCATATTTAAATTTTATTTGATAAAGTCTATTAACTTTATTAAAAAGATGTAAGAAAATAAAACAACTCAGAATATCAATACAAATGAAATAAAAGAAATAAAAAAGATTTTAGTATGTACTTAATATACTTACAAAAAAAAGTTTTTATTAAGATTAGAAACCTAAAGAATAAAAGAATAAATGTATAAACAGAAAACTCTTGCATATGGGTTCGGTATTCTGCATTCTTATGTAACTTGAATGATTTGAATGATCAAATGACAATTGAAAATATGTCGGTTGCAAATATAAACCATTTTCAGTTTGTGTAGCATTATATAACGCCAAAAATTTTTTCCTTATTTTTCTTTTTAAAACTGATCTTTTTGCCTTTCAACCCAAATTTTTTGCGTAGGATTTCATTTGATAATTCATATATTCAATTGGTTTCAATCAAGTGCTTTTGTTTACCATAGCTAAAGGTCATTATCTAAAAATTTATTAGAAAATTTACCTATAAATCCAAAAGAAGAGTTGAAAAGTATTAATACAATTAATATATTATAATAATATAAAATACAATATCAATTGTAATTAGTATATGTAAATTTCTAATTCTAATTATATTAGTTAGTATAAATTATACAATTATATATAATTTTTCAATTTTAATTATTAAAATTTATTACTATTATTATTATTATAATAATAATTTTTATAAAAAATCTATATATAAAAATTATAAATAGATTTATTAATAAAATATATTAAAAAGTTTTTTATTTTAAAAAATATTTAGTATATATTTAAAGAAAGATTATAAAAAATCAGAATATTATAATGAAATTAAGTTTGTTACTAGTGCTTCTCATAAGCTAGCTTGCAAGCTGAATTAACCTTCATAGGCATGAAAAATAATCATTATATATATATTTATCTATTGTAACAGAATTATTATAATATAATTGATCTACATAGTGCATTATAAATAGTCATATAAGTGACGTAGTTAACAGGATCGACTTAATAGATATATTTAATTTATGTAACGCAAGAAAATGTAAATCTAAATGTCAAACATGTTAAACATATTTGATATATTTGATATATCTGATATATTTGATATATCAAATATACCTAACATATATAATATATTAGATTTATATTAAAAAGTATATAAAGGAGACTAAATTCTTGATAAGAAAGTAACTATTAATTGCTAAATATAATCTGATCAGTTCAGCAATAATTATGTATAACCCCTTTTTGTAAAATAGCACAAGGCTACACTTTTCTATTTATGATTAATTCTTCTTTTGTATTTTCTTAGTTTAGTATTTTTAGCTTTTAGTTTATTTATTTACCAATAAATCTTTATTTGATTTACTTGAAACATTTTGTGATACTTTATATTTGTAACATAATTCAT